CAACGAGGACCCTAGTGTTAAATCATGTCCATTAAAACATCATCAAACAAAAAGTTTAAAAAAATAAATATTTAAAAAAAAAAAAAAAAAAAAAAAAAAGAAGAAGCAAAGAAAACCCTATGCTGGATTGAGACTCATCACCGCTGGTTGTGAGAGCTGGTATGACTTTATTGCCAAGGCCTTGGGCCCAAAAAGAAAGGACGTTGGAGCATTTTCGGTCCCATTATCTTTTATTAACCTGTACATTTTAGAAAACCAATTCAAATTTAACAGCAATTTTCTCAGGAAACTTCTCCAGGAAAATAGATAGGACAACCCCACTCAAGCTGTGAGCCAGCATGAGACCAGTGTGGTCGTAGGTCCCCACTCTATTTTTACCTGTTCTATTTGTATATTATATATGATATATAATATTATAATATTTTAGATTAGTTTTAGGATATTTACCCTAAAATAAAATAATATATTAGGTTCTTTTAGTCTACAAATTAATCATAAATTTTCTTGATCTCTCTTCTACTCGTCTCCCTTAAATCTTCTAGGTTAGTTTAAAACATTTGCACTAAAAACTCCTAAAGTTTTAACCTTTTTCTTCCTCCTCTTCCTCTCTTGTTTTAAGCTTTGTGAATTTTTTATTTTCCTTATTTTTTTTATGTATGAGTTGGGTACCTTAATATTGTGCTTTATGAACTCTTTATTTTTCTATTTATTTTCTTTGTTGAAATATTTATTTTCACTGTATTCCACCTAACTTGTAGAAAACCCGAACAGATTCAAAAGTTCTGAACCAAGCAAAACCAATATGCAAATTCACTAAATATAAACTAAACATAACCCAACTCTCACAAAATATAAACTTCCAAAATCAGAAATGAAAATGAAAAACTGAAAATAAAATAGAGCATAACAAGAAGGACAAAATAAAGTTTTAACATATGACATAGACCACTCCCATCAGTCCAGACTAAGCTAATTCACCAAAATAAATAAATAATGGAAGACAAAACAACGTTGGAGTTGTTTGGGGCATTACATGCTCTTGTATATACCAGAAGTCCTACTATACTAGTCATAAGAATTTTTGTTGGAGTTGTATGTGGCTCGATACAAGTATGGATGTAGAAGTGATTATGGACTCAGATCGAATAAGTAACAAATTAATCTACATCAAAAAAGTAGGTGATCCGCTATTAATGACATCAAATTTTTTTATTTAAAACATCACACTTAGAGATCCGTTGAGTCTTATAATCTACGGAATTAAATTTGACATATAGATTACATTTTATTTTCCAAAAGTTTATTCATATATGGTTGCATTTTTTATGAAAGTCTAACTCTCAGCAACCTGCTTGAGGTAGGAGAACAGCTCAAGCGGTCTAGAGAACATCACCATGTGATCAGAACCATTGATCAATTTGACTTCATTCGGCGGATTCTTATTGATCATCAACATTCGCCATTTCTCAGTTATTATATGGTCTTGGTCGCACCCGATGAATACTCTACGAACCGATCCATATTTCTCATTAGTGAGTTTTATATCATCACTAAAGAGAGGAGTGAATCTCACCAAGGACAATGCTAGTGTTAAATCCTGTTCGTTGATCATCACCAATCAAGAAAGAAAAGAGAAAGATGAACAATATTAGCTAAAAGGACACGTGCATAAAATCAATTTTTACTGTTCTTTCTTTGTAAAGACATACCTCTGGTGGTGAGAGTTGGTACATTGACGATGACATTAACTTTGGCCCAAGAAGTGCGGCGGTAGGAGGATTGTTGGGTCCCCGATCATATCTAAACTGACTGTCCATCAAATCCAGACTGTTCAAAATCTGTATAAATTTTTAAACGCGTAGTTATTAATATTCATCATATATATATACAGAAATTCTTTTATATCAAAGTCAGAAGATTGGTCGATACATTTGGACTTTAATATTAAAGGATTATATATATTGTGTTTGTATCATCATGTCATGTCATTCCGTGTTATTGTTGGTTACTAGCTAGTCATCCCTAATCTGATGGGTTTAATTAATTGTGCAATGAGAACTCGAAATTTAAAACCAAATTCCCTTAACTATACATTACACATAACAAAATCCCCTTAACTATCGTTCATATATATATTGTTTTTAAAGATATAAAAAGTAACGATATGTTTATTTAAGGATTAATAGACTAGTAATCTTTTTTGAACGGTACTAGCAAAATGTATTGTCAAAATTTACCACCGACAAGTGGTGAGGCTCCGATAATTTTTTTTGGTGGGTAAAATAATTTACAGAGGACACTTAAAATCTAACATTAAAAAACATTTTAAATTAACATATTTTGGACAAAGTATGCGATGTTGTGATCTGTGAGTCTGTCGAACTCATTACCTGAGATGACAAATTTAAGTAGTCGAGAGCAGGACCAGGCATTACAGCGGTGGCAAATACTGCAACATAAATCTTCTTAGGGAATTTCTCCATGGCAATGGATAGGGCGGCCCCACCCATGCTGTGGCCCACAAGGATGACCCTCTCCTTTGGCGGGATAGACTTCATGAATCTCATCAATGGCTCAACGTAATCCGAGAGAGAATGAAGTTGTTGAACTTGCTTTGGGTTGACCCCAGATGCTGCTAGGTCTAGGGCTGTAACATTATGACCAATTGAGGTGAGTAGAGTTGAGACCTTGTACCAGCACCATGCCCCATGACCAGCTCCATGAACCAGCACAAAATGCTTCTGGGCTGCATCTGGGTTTGGAGATGGGGTGCAGATTCTGGTGAAGCTAAGAAATAAAAGGAAAGACACCAAATGCTTCACTCTCATATTCTCCATGTTTCGTACAAACCTCGCTCTCTTTTCTTGGCCTGTACTATAATGCATTTGGTCTAGTGTTACAAACCGGTGATATAAAAAAATTCAGATGATGTTGGCAATCTGAAAAGTCAGTGAATTATTGTACAAATAATTAATTAATTAATCCTCCC